TCGGTTTTGTTCGGGAAAAGAAACTCCGATAGTTTCTTTTATTCGATTAAAACGCGCGTGCATCGTCATCCTAAGGGTAGGAGACCCATCGGGCATTCATCACTGAAGATAGAAGGTAAATTAAAATTTCTATTAAACATTTACTTTAATAATAACTTATAATTTTGAAATGATAAAGATGATTCTAATCGTTTTGTACTTTTTTCTTGTTTCAGAAGGATAAGCAGTGTTAGTGTTTGAATTTTTGGACTGCGTGCAATGCAGTTAATAAAAATTAGAGTCAGTGTTTGTTCGAATAATTAAAGTAAAATTGAATCGCGAAGTAGAGTCAGTGTCGTGGTCGTGATAAAGAAACACGTAAAGTTTCTCCGTCGTTTGAACCGTCTACAGCATCGTCATCTTTAAAGGTGGGATACCTGTCGGGCATCATCTAAAAAGATGTAAAGGTAAGTTAACTTTTCTATTAAACATTTCTTCAATAATTTTATATGATTTTTGAAATAATAACAATGATTCTAATCGTTTCATTTTTCTTTTTATTGTTCACAGGTAAGAAGTGTGTCGGATTTTGATATTTTAACTGTACGGTATGCAGTTGTAAAAGTAGAGTCAGTGTTTGTTCGAATAATTAAAATCAAATTTTTATCGCGAAATAGAATCATTGTTTGTTCTTTTATATTATATTATTTTTATATCACGGATTTAGAATCATCTATAACTGCGAGCAATGCAGTTAATTACAATAGTGTATTTGTTCGTTTAAAGTTGTTTTTTTTATTTATAACAGTCGTACAGACTGTTCGCGAAAGTAGAGTCAGTGAAGTGACCGGGAGTGAAATTTTCTTGTGTTTGCATTTGACTGCGTGCAATGCAGTTTTTTAAAGTAGAGTCAGTGTTTGTTCGATTAATTAACAAGTACAATTTTGATCGCGAAGTAGAGTCAGTGATCGGGCGGGCGTGTATAAATTAAATTCAAATCATACGCGTATGTAGAGTCAGTG